TCCCTCTAGTTAACATTGTTTAACACACTCAAGGACACAGTTGCGGTTCTTTTATTCCTAGAAAAGCAAGATGTGCTAATGCTTCCTGTGCTGGCTACCTCGGTGGCGACTCAAAGCCACAGCCTGGGCCGTTTGATGCTTTCTATTTCAGAATGGTACTGATAGCCTGTTACTGAGTGCCTCGAGGATGGAAAGGGCCCCTGGGAACCCGCTGACATGCCTGCATGCCTCCACTGACTCAACCTGGCACAGCAGTCACTTCTCTCTCCTTGGACTTCTTGATGTTGCAAAGGCCTCCCCCAGGGCAACATCAGGGCCCTGAGCCCCTGGGAGGAGGAATCGAGGGGCAGAAAAGGGATGGAGGTCTCGGACACACACACAAGTATGCTAACTTAGGAGGGCTTTTGTGTGCTGGGCTGGATATTTAACCAGCATCTGGAGTAATGAAAGGTGTATCTTGGGAGGCCGAGGCGGGTGGATCACGAGGTCAACAGATCGAGACCATCCTGGTCAACATGGCGAAACTCCGTCTCTACTAAAAATACAAAACATTAGCTGGGCATGGTGGCACGTGCCTGTAACCTTAGCTATTCAGGAGGTTGAGGCAGGAGAATTGCCTGAACCCAGGAGGCGGAGGTTGCGGTGAGCTGAGATCACACCATTGCACTCCAGCCTGGGTAACAAGAGTGAAACTCCATCTCAAACAAAAAAAAAGAAAGGTGTATCAGTTTCAAAACTCCAGACCTGGGTTTTAGACCTCATTCTGCCATTTACTAGCTGCCTGAGTTTTGGTAAGCTATCGATCTCAGCCTGCTTATTTGTGTAAATATAATATTTAGCTCAGAGGGCTATTGTGACAGTTGGACTAGATGGAGTTTTGCCTTTACACAGCTGAGCGTCTGGAAGGGCATACAGATATTGACCATTACCAGAAAGAGCTCAGTTTTCCTGTAGCTGGGTCACAAACACACTTGGAATCCAAAGGATGCTAAAATCTCTTCAGCTACTGTTCTCAACAGGCTGCCTTTGACTCCGCACAGAATTTGCCTTCTCTGTTTCCTCCATACTTTCTTTTTCTTTT